TAGACCGCACTGTTTCTGACGGTATCAGGTTATTGAGTTTCTTTCATTGCCGGCGGGTGTACCCGCGTGCGCTGGCGAGGCCGAGGTTTTTGAGAGCTTCTGGCGAAGCAGCCGAGTTGAGTTTCTTATTGCGGCAGAACCGAGCTGAATGTTTGCGGCGGGGCCGAATCGATCTCGGGGGGCATATATATATATATATATATATATGTATATATAGTGGCGGAGCCGAATTCGATTTCATCCAATGCTGTCCTTCTCGGCGAAGTCGAGCCGTGGCTAGGATGTTGGCTAGGTCTCCTGGCGTGGCCGATACGTCAATCGCTCGCTGCTTGTGGCGGAGCCGAGCTGTGGCAGGGCCGAGCTTCGGAGCAGAAGCTGAGGTTGAATCCGCTGATGGAAAGGAATTCAGGATTTAGGGTTAAGGGTTAGAGTTTGAGGCATACTGCGGTAGAACGAAAGTTCGTTGCACTGTGTATGTTGCTCCCCCCGGTAGCGATGCTACGTAAAATGCATTTCCGCGTACTCCGCGTCCTCCGCATGAGCCTATAAGCAAGTGCGACGAAACTTTAATCCTGGCTATGCAAGCTGAGGTTCTCAGAGTCAAAAAACAACCGCATCGCCATTGGCGTCTAAACCGAATGATATTGACAGTGGTACGGCCCTGCAGATTAATTAAACATTAAAGTCCAGCTGGCCGCCATTCTGGCTTGAGCCAGGAACGACTTTAATATTGAAATATTAAAGTTTTAAACATTAAGGTCCGAGCAGGGACTTTAATCTGCAGGGCGAGACTTTAATATTAAAGTCCCGCCCTGCAGATTAAATATTAAAGTCCCTGCTCGGACTTTAGTGTTTAAATACTTTAGTACTTCAATATTAAAGCCGTTCCTGGCTCAAGCCAGAATGGCGGCCAGCTTCCATTCTGGCCTGAGCCAGGAACGACTTTAATATTGAAATATTAAAGTTTTTAAACATTAAAGTCCAAGCTGGGGCTTTAATCTGCAGGGCGAGACTTTAATATTAAAGTAAGGCCCTGCAGATTATACATTAAAGTCCAGCTGGCCGCCATTCTGGCCTGAGCCAGGAACGACTTTAATATTGAAATATTAATGAAATTAAACATTAAAGTCCGAGCAGGGGCTTTAATCTGCAGAGCGAGACTTTAATATTAAAGTAAGGCCCTGCGGATTAAATATTAAAGTCCCTGCTCGGACTTTGATGATTAAAAGCTTTAATATTTCAATATTAAAGTCGTTCCTGGCTCAGGCCAGCATGGCGGCCAGCTTCCATTCTGGTCTGAGCCAGGAACGACTTTAATATTGAAATAATAAAGTTTTTAAACATTAAAGTCCAAGCTGGGGCTTTAATCTGCAGGGCGAGACTTTAATATTAAAGTAAGGCCCTGCAGATTAAACATTAAAGTCCAGCTGGCTGCCGTTCTGGCCTGAGCCAGGAACGACTTTAATATTGAAATATTAAGGTTTTTAAACATTAAAGTCCGAGCAGGGGCTTTAATCTGCATGGCGAGACTTTAATATTAAAGTAAGGCTCTGCGGATTAAATATTAATTAATTATTTAAGTCCCTGCTCGGACTTTAATGTTTAAAAACTTTAATATTTCAATATTAAAGTCGTTCCTGGCTCAGGCCAGAATGGCGGCCAGGCGGACTTTAATGTTTCATCTGCAGGGCCATACTTCAATATTAAAGTAAGGCCCTGCAGATTAAACATTAAAGTCCAGCTGGCCGCCATGCTGGCCTGAGCCAGGAACGACTTTAATATTGAAATATTAAAGTTTTTAAACATTAAAGTCCACGCTGGGGCTTTAATCTGCATGGCGACACTTTAATATTAAAGTAAGGCCCTGCGGATTAAATATTAAAGTCCCTGCTCGGACTTTAATGATTAAAAGCTTTAATATTTCAATATTAAAGTCGTTCTTGGCTCAGGCCAGCATGGCGGCCAGCTTCCATTCTGGCCTGAGCCAGGAACGACTTTAATATTGAAATATTAAAGTTTTTAAACATTAAAGTCCAAGCTGGGGCTTTAATCTGCAGGGCGAGACTTTAATATTAAAGTAAGGCCCTGCAGATTAAACATTAAAGTCCAGCTGGCTGCCGTTCTGGCCTGAGCCAGGAACGACTTTAATATTGAAATATTAATGTTTTTAAACATTAAAGTCCGAGCACGGGCTTTAATCTGCATGGCGAGACTTTAATATTAAAGTAAGGCCCTGCGGATTAAATATTAAAGTCCTGCTCGGACTTTAATGATTAAAAGCTTTAATATTTCAATATTAAAGTCGTTCCTGGCTCAGGCCAGAATGGCGGCCAGCCGGACTTGAATGTTTCATCTGCAGGGCCTTATTTTAATATTAAAGTAAGGCCCTGCAGATTAAACATTAAAGTCCAGCTGGCCGCCATCCTGGCCTGAGCCAGGAACGACTTTAATATTGAAATATTAAAGTTTTTAAACATTAAAGTCCACGCTGGGGCTTTAATCTGCATGGCGACACTTTAATATTAAAGTAAGGCCCTGCGGATTAAATATTAAAGTCCCTGCTCGGACTTTGATGATTAAAAGCTTTAATATTTCAATATTAAAGTCGTTCCTGGCTCAGGCCAGCATGGCGGCCAGCTTCCATTCTGGCCTGAGCCGGGAACGACTTTAATATTGAAATATTAAAGTTTTTAAACATTAAAGTCCAAGCTGGGGCTTTAATCTGCAGGCTGAGACTTTAATATTCAAGTAAGGCCCTGCGGATTAAACATTGAAGCCCCTGCTCGGACTTTAATGTTTAAAAACTTTAATATGTCAATATTAAAGTCGTTCTTGGCTCAGGCCAGAATGGCGGCCAGCCGGACTTTAATGTTCAATCTGCGGGCGAGACTTTAATATTAAAGTAAGGCCTTGTAGATTAAACATTAAAGTCCAGCTGGCCGCCAATCAAAGTCCCAGCGTGGACTTTAATGTTTAAAAACTTTAAAATTTCAATATTAAAGTCGTTCCTGGCTCAGGCCAGAATGGCGGCAAGCCGGACTTTAATGTTTCATCTGCAGGGCCATACTTCAATATTAAAGTAAGGCCCTGCAGATTAAACATTAAAGTCCAGCTGGCCGCCATGCTGGCCTGAGCCAGGAACGACTTTAATATTGAAATATTAAAGTTTTTAAACATTAAAGTCCACGCTGGGGCTTTAATCTGCATGGCGACACTTTAATATTAAAGTAAGGCCCTGCGGATTAAATATTAAAGTCCCTGCTCGGACTTTAATGTTTAAAAACATTAATATTTCAATATTAAAGTCGTTCCTGGCTCAGGCCAGAACGGCAGCCAGCTGGACTTTAATGTTTAATCTGCAGGGCCTTACTTTAATATTAAAGTCTCGCCCTGCAGATTAAAGCCCCAGCTTGGACTTTAATGTTTAAAAACTTAAATATTTCAATATTAAAGTCGTTCCTGGCTCAGGCCAGAATGGAAGCTGGCCGCCATGCTGGCCTGAGCCAAGAACGACTTTAATATTGAAATATTAAAGCTTTTATATTAAAGTCCCTGCTCGGACTTTAATGTTTAAAAACTTTAATATTTCAATATTAAAGTCGTTCCTGGCTCAGGCCAGAATGGCGGCCAGCCGGACTTGAATGTTTCATCTGCAGGGCCTTATTTTAATATTAAAGTAAGGCCCTGCAGATTAAACATTAAAGTCCAGCTGGCCGCCATCCTGGCCTGAGCCAGGAACGACTTTAATATTGAAATATTAAAGTTTTTAAATATTAAAGTCCACGCTGGGGCTTTAATCTGCAGGGCGAGACTTTAATATTAAAGTAAGGCCCTGCGGATTAAACATTAAAGCCCCTGCTCGGACTTTAATGTTTAAAAACTTTAATATGTCAATATTAAAGTCGTTCCTGGCTCAGGCCAGAATGGCGGCCAGCCGGACTTTAATGTTCAATCTGCGGGCGAGACTTTAATATTAAAGTAAGGCCTTGCAGATTAAACATTAAAGTCCAGCTGGCCGCCAATTAAAGTCCCAGCGTGGACTTTAATGTTTAAAAACTTTAATATTTCAATATTAAAGTCGTTCCTGGCTCAGGCCAGAATGGCGGCCAGCCGGACTTTAATGTTTCATGTGCAGGGCCGGCTGGCCGCCATTCTGGCCTGAGCCAGGAACGACTTTAATATTGAAATATTAAAGTTTTAAAACATTAAAGTCCGAGCAGGGGCTTTAATGTTTAATCCGCAGGGCCTTACTTTAATATTAAACTTCAATATTTCAATATTAAAGTCGTTCCTGGCTCAGGCTAGGTGGACTTTAATGTTTAATCTGCAGGGCCTTACTTTAATATTAAAGTAAGAGTTTAATGTTTAATCTGCAGGGCGGGACTTTAATATTAAAGTAAGGCCTTGCAGATGAAGCATTAAAGTCCCAGCGCAGACTTTAATATTAAAGTTCACTGCCCGAGAAAGACGGCGCCACATTATACGTATTCTACCCTCTTACGGGGGGGGGGTGGGTCCGTATTATCATTATAGAATAATGCGCCCCCAAACCCTATTCTAAGTATTAAGGCCCCTTATTTCAGCTCAGAGTACGGAAGCCCCCCTTGGAGGTTGAGGAGACTTTCGAACCTGAACATGATCCTACCTCCAACCAGGTACAAGCCCTCTACGTATGATAATTATGGGGTGGGGTGGGCCTTTGGGACATCTTCCATTTTCTGTTGGGCCTAAGAGGATCTTGTTGGCGGATATGTTTCAAAGACCTTCACGGGCCAACATACGTAGATGAAGTACAGTCAAAAACAGTTTAGAAGTAGCCTGGAACTCCGCAGTGTAGACAGGCTGACCACGATTATTATGTCATTCCTTAGGGCTTCTTCGTACACTTACAGCATCTTGCAGCATTCTAACATATTCGACTTGTCGCGCGCCCCACATCAAGCCCGCATAAAGCCCAACCGAAATTAGTTTCGTTCGAGCACGTTTCTTCTGCGTGACAGGCGCACTACGCAAAGAAGGGCAAGTCCCGTGCTCAGCACGAAAAGAGCACAATACGTCTCAAGTCTGTGAAAGCATCCGCCTTCTGTTGAAGGAGAAGGAACATGAACCGCTTTGATTAACCTGTTAACTGTTCTTTTCAAGGGAGGTTGGCAGGACCTGTCGGGCATGCACAAGCCTTTGTAAGACTGCTTTACGTGATCTGCTTGCATACCCACTGTTTCCACGGTGTTTCAGAGCTGCATGCAACCGGAACGGAATCCTCAAGACAAACATCCGAACATCTCGGTCTGAATAGCATCCATCAGCATTGCGAAAAGCTCCTGCTGCTCCTGGTATGACTACGCGTAATTGTCGCTTGCACCTGGTCGAGCATATGCTTTTTGGATTTACTAGAGCCACCACAACCAACTCGAGCACTTGCAATGTTTTTTGAAGATCCCGCATTTCAACACGAAGCCCCTCGAATCTAGGCTTGCAGCGTTGAAGGCCATGAATTTGCGGTGCACGTGTGTTTCAGACAGCATAAGTAGGTTGTATGGAATTGGACTGCAAGAGTCACCCCAACTATAGCCTGCTTGCTGAATCCCGGGTTCTTTCAAGCACAGCTACATGTTGACAACTTTCGCCCTTTTTTAGTTATCGCTCCGCGCACACTCTGTTGCTGCAGCGAGGTGAGAATATGCAGATGATGAGCAGATGCCGCGGTGCGGGATACAGAAATGTGACAAGACCTTAAAGCCTAAGCGCGAAGCCCCAATCTTGTGCCTGAGCCCTGGGGCGAGTACTGTGAACAAGCTGATCACTTCGAAACTTGGTTGGAAATTGTTTTGAAGCAGTATAAGAACTGTGAAAGATTGTTTGCCATCTGCGACTTCTGAGTTCTAACATTCTAACTGTTGAAGTGGGCTGAAAGACTGGATGTGGAGTGACAGCCTGTATGACACTCTCCCCATCTGCTCCCCCGCTCTTGCCCTTTCTCTCCGCCCTTCTTTCTGTATCTCTCTCTCTCTGGCTCTCTCTCTCTCTCTCTCTCTCTCTCTCCCTCTCTCTCACACACACACGCATTAGTCAGTCAACTTTACCTCTAGTAACATCCCGTGCACTTGTCCAAGCCGTTCCGCGCGCGCAAAAACGGCATGGAGTTTTGTGTGTGGCAAGGCAGATACATTGGGAAGTCCCTGCAAGCGTTTGATAGTATTGGATCTAAATCTACGTACTCGGAAAGAAGATGCTGCAAACCCTAAACCGTATTCCAAAGAGTGACCCCCGCCTTGATGTGCTAGTGCTCTTGCCACCTCCTCTTCGTTCATGAGAGCTGGCAGCGCCAATGTACACTAGCATGGATCGGCCAGCCGAAAGATTTGGTCGAACCGTTCTACCTCTCCACACGTCCAGGGCCGATGGAGGTTTTAGGCATTACGGTTTTGGCCTGAATAGAGTTTCGGCGGTTGCGAATAATGAGAAAAGTGGTCTTAGTAGCTGAGTGGATACACTTTACACTTCTTGAGATAGTATTACCCACCATAAACCTAAAAGTGTAGACTTTCTGGGCCTGTATACTCAGCAACTAAGGGGGTGGTTTCCCGCCTTCCGATGTTGCGTGACAACTCGAGCCGGGAACTGAAGCCTCAAACCCGCAGCCTTCGGGACTTCCCAGACCCCCGGGAGGATCATGGGACTTAGTAGGGTTCCTTAAAGGGCTCCTTTATGGGAACCTTTAGGGTTTAGGGTATAGGGATCTATAAGGGAAAGTAGATCCCCTAATTTGGGGCCCTATACTACTAAGGGTACTTTATAGGAACCCCCATTAAGGGATCTACTTTTTGGATCCTCCCTGGGGTCTGGGTTAGGAAGTCAGGCTTTGGTACCCTAAGGCGGTAGAAGTAATTACAATGACAGTTACCTTATTTGTAGCCCCTGAAGCCTGAGCCCGAGGAAATGCAGGTCGATCTGAACCTTGACCGGGAAAACCCCGGCATTCATGGGAGGAACGATCCACGAAACGTCCCTCAGGAGGGCCGGTGCCCAATCTTAGTAGCTGAGTGGATACACTTTACACTTTTGGGGATAATACTACCCACTATAAAACTGAAAGTGTACACTTTTGGGGGGCTTATGAACTCAGCAACTAAGGAATATAGAGGCTTGAATGGTGTCTGGTTTCGTATACTATCGAAATCTTAGTGCATGTACGTAAGCATGGATGGATGGAGGGATGGATGTATGTATGAATGCATGTACGTAGTTATATATGTATGTAGTCGGTAGGCATGTAGGTTGGTGGCTGTAAGTAAGTACGAAGACACACAGGTACGTCAGCATGTATGTGTGCGTGTATATGTACGTGTGCATCAGTGTATGCTTGCATGCATGGATGGCTGGATTCATGTATGGGTGCAGGTTTGCATGTATGCATGTGTGCAAGAGTATAAAAGCACGTACATGTGAGTATCATACAAATGTGCCAAGCATGCGCATGCTCTGTCAGAAGAGTCTTAACGGGCTTGGAACCCATGTTGCGAATTTAGTTCACGCGCCTTGCGCCCTCGCAGTTTTCCAAGCGGATACCTCCCGTTGCAATCGATTGCTGCCCCGCAGCCAGGTCACTGCAAGATCGCACATTTCTGCTAAATCCAGATGTGACGGATTTGGAATTTGGAGCCTTAGACTTTAACATCCGACATCTGCCGCAAGAGAGCGAGAGAGAGAGAGAGAGAGAGAGAGAGAGAGAGGGGGGGGCTTGCTGTAATTTGCATATATGTAAATATGTCAGGAAGTTGGGTTTGACTGGCTGACGTGCACTAGCTGTGGCGACCAATAAGATCAGCAAATCAGCGTCATGGGAACGTTGTCAAGACTGCTGCTGATGACAATCACGGAGATGGTGGCTATGCGCGTAGTCAAGGTAAGGTTTCTAAGACGACACTTGCCTCATGGATTGTGGTGGAGTTGCCACTGATGACATCGATGCTGAAGCCCTCAGCCCAGACCCACCGGGAGGATCCAAAAAGTAGATCCCTTAATGTGGCTTCCTGTAAAGTACCCTTAGTAGTATAGGGGCCCAAATTAGGGGATCTACTTTCTAGATCCTCCCGGAGGTCTGGGAGCTGGGTACTTACCTGAAGGTCTGGTGTTTGAGGCATGCGTCATGAGGGCTCAGGTGAGGGGCGGCGTGTCGAACAAGGATCCTGCCACTTTGACATTGGATACTACAGGGGCCTTGATGGGTATACGACACTACAATTAAAATAAGGAAATCCCAGAAAAGTATGGGAAAAACTGTTTAGGCCCCTACATTAGCTGCTTGGAGGCGTGTCTCAAAACTCGTGCATATTCGATCTGAGGCCAGGGATGCTAATTCTGGGAAGTACCGTTCTCTCCAGCACTCAACGGTCGAACTTCCTGGATTCCGAAAATTTTACTATTTCTGCAACTTCGTGGATTCCTAAAACCTTACTGTTTCTGAAAATCAGCATAAGCCATACATCTCCGCACTGAGAAAGTTTTGTGATTTCAGGTTCAATGCATTCTTCCGCGCGAAATGTGCACATGCCGGCGACCTGGACAATGGGGAGATATGTCATTGAACTATGAGACCTATTGGCCGCAGGGCCACATGCGGAAAGTCTCCAGCAGCAGGAAAATGGACGGCTCAGGGGTGTCGAGCTTAGGGCTTTAAGGTTGCAGGAGCCGTTTTAGGATTTTGAAGACCGTCTCGATGGGATTGCGATGATTAGACTTGAAACGTGTTATTCTCAGGGGCGCCCTTTATTCTCTTGGGCATTTTTGCGATTTGTGATTTTGCATTGCTGTCTCTTCGCAAATTTCTTGCTGGCTACAGAAGGACATTGGTACAAGTTCAACATGAGGCATCGATGACCGATGTTGTCCCCCCGTAACCTCAGGCCAGAGATGTGACGCGCAAAGCAAAGACCACCTGGACCCTGAACCCAAACCGGACTAACTCAAATCTCAAGCACCGCGAAACACCCTAAACCCTAGACAGCCTAAACCCTAAACCCTAAACAGCCAAACCCTAAACCCTAAACAGCCTGAACCCAAGACGGTGTGCCCCCAGGCATAGAAAGCTTGTTAGACCCTATATCTAGGGTGTCGAGACTACAGTTTATAGTCTTAGGAGTTGATTTTTACCCAGACCCCCGGGAGGATCTAGAAAGTAGATCCCCTAATACGGGACCCTGTACTACTAAGGGTACTGTAAAGGAACCCCCATTAAGGGATCTACTTTTTGGATCCTCGAAAGGGGGGTCTGGGTGGCCATGGATCTCGAAATGAGCCCACCGCGGCCGAGGGGTCGAAGGCTCGATTTTTGCTTGTTTTTTGAAGGGGTTCATCAAAACTACGGTTGATGATATATATTTATATATCCTGCATTACCCATAATATGGAATATAGGAATATACCATAGTTCCCATAGTTTAGGGTCCTTAAGGTACTGCAGGATTTATATCATCAACCGTCTGGGCCGTGATTGGGGTCTGTATAATTGTATATTCCTTATAGTTCAAGGGATCGAAAGGGGCCCATAATTTTGATCAACCCCCTTGTGTGGCTGAACGGTGTAGGGTTTCGGGATGCTGTCCTACGGTTTGAGGTTTTTGGGTTTAGGGTATTGGGTTTTGGGAAAGCCCTCACTGAAAGGGGGAACATACCTCAAATCACAGTATGGGTCTCCTGAATTGCCATGCCTCAAGAAGGATTCCTTCACAAAAGGCCATTGGCATTGGGGTCTCCGGCTAAGCGTAACTTAACCTTGGACCTGAACCCATATCAGAGGAAATCTAGGGGCCTTAAAAATTAGAATAGGGTTTGGGTCATGATATAGTATAGTTATCATCAGGAGCCCTGTTCTAAATTGATACGGCCCCTACGTTACTCAATGCAGTGCTTCTCGGCCTCATCACCCGTTTCAACTCTCTGGGACTCAGCTACTTGGAGGATCATGGGACTTAGTAATTGGGCCTAAATAGGGTAACTATAGTAATTGGGGTTATAAATCGGATAACTATAGTTATAAGTACTTATAGCCCCAATTAGGGTGCTTATGACCTTACTTACTAAGTCCCATGATCCTCCAAGTAGGACCTCCGGACCCGACCGTGTTGGGTGTCCTTCGGCTTCGTAAAAACGGCGCGAGAACGTCACGACTTATTGGAGGTTCCAATTGACATGATGTACAGAAGCATAGTAGCTCAAAATCGAAGGAACCCTTATGCCCTGCGGCCACAACCCGTCAGCCCAAAACACAAGACGCTTAAATCTGGAAGCGCAGCCAAAACCCCCATACACCAAGCCCCCAAATCTTTCAACCCCTTACCCAAACCAGTGAACCGAAAACCCAAATCCTTGAAGAACGGCACAACACCAAACCGCTGAACCTCCGACCTCAACCCAAGACCTTACACCCCGATTCCGTTCTAGACCCCGAAACCCGCAAATGTCTACGAAACCGAAAAGTGTTTTGCTTAGTTCTGCCGCACTGCCGTAAGTACACTTACATGTGGGGGCCCACTTAAAGAATGATACCCTACGTCTGTCAACATAGCCTAGTCACTAAAGCCACTGCTCCGTCGAGTGGCCTCAAAATTAAAATCCGAAATGGAGGATCATGGGAAGTTAGTAACCGTGCTAGTTAGCAAGGGAACTAAAGTCACAATCCTTGAGAAGCCCCATCAAGGTACTTATAAACATGCTTGCTAAGTCCCATTATCCCCCAAGTACAACAGCGAAGCCCATAAAAGTATGTTGAACCCTTTAGAACAAGCCCCCCGCGGAAGACGGAAAGATTACCCGCAGACTCCAAAATCCCGGTAGGGAACATTGGATCCTGCAGGGATACGTACTTCCAGGGGAGTTTTGGAGGGCAGGGTTTTCAGTAAATGTTTCTAAACCCTGAAACCCTAAACTCCTAAGCTCCTTAACTCCTAAACCCTAAGCCCTACACCCTACGCCCTAAGCTCCTCAACCCTAAGCCCTAAACCCTAAAACCCTACACCCTAAACCCTAAAAAGAGGAAGAACTCCCAAACTCTGAACCCCGAGCCGAAGGTACCGGTGGCCATGTGCTGCGGTGCCACTCGCCCTCGGAGCGGCTCAGTCCTTAATTTCGTCGCTTCAAAGGAACCCAGAGATAGAACCCTTTAAGGAACCCTTATTAAGGGAACTCTTTAAGGAGCCCTAATTTCTAAGTCCCATGATCCTCTAAGTAGGGTTTGAAGATTTTGTGTTCTAACTGGTTTCCCAGCGATCCCAATACCCCTTAATTAAGGAATATACCTTCAACCATAATATTATTGAGGCCCCTATAATGTAAGGTATATTCCTTAATTAGGGGGTATTCGGATCGCTGAGAAGCCAAGCGTAGAGGGCTTAGGTCTATTCCGAATCGAAGACGTAGTAGCTGAGTAGGTAACCTTTAGCCTTTAACCTTTCGGGGTTTAGGGGCCATAACTGAACAGGCTAACTCTAGGGGCCATAACTGAACAAGTTAACCTTTTTTGGGGCTAGGGTATTCAGCCCCTACGCAGAAACCCAGGCCTTCCAATATCCCTTGAAGCATTGACTAAGAGTCAAAGTAGGATCCCGAATGTCAATATGATTTCAGGCATATTCCTTGATTAGGGGACATTGGAAGGTCAGGAACCGTAAACCCTAAAGTTGGAACAGGGATGAAGCCATCAGGCCGGGAGCACCCAAAGCCCGAAACCCCGAAAGTCCCACAGCACCGAAAACTCTGAGACCTTCATACTTGGACGATCATGGGACTTAGTAAGTAGGGTTATAGGTACCCTAATTGGGGTTATACGTAATTGTAAGTATAGATACCTTAATCATAACTCTAGTTACTAAGTCCCATGATCCTCCAAGTAGCATCTACTTGGAGGATCATGGGACTTCGTAACCACAGGTATAAACAAGATAACTGCAATGAGAAGTACTTTCAACCCAACTAGAATATGCACAACCCTACGTATTAAAGTCCCTTGAAGACTCGGTTCAACGGTCCCTTCAACGCATCTATAGGTGTGCTATAACGATGCAAGGTTCAGGGTTCAGCTATATAATCAGTTACCTTGCTTATAACCCAAGTTGCCCTAGTCTCAGTCCCATGATCCTCTAAGTAGGGCGAGAGAGCCCATGGAAGGACGGCTTAGATTCCAGCGGCAGGCTTAATATAAACATTGCGCAAATCAAAAGACGGATTAGGCTCTAAACTCAACTTTAGAGTGTAAACTCCACCCCAACCCCTTAAACCCTAGACGCGAAGCCTTGAACCCTAATGTCGCGAAAGGGCCCACTTGTCAAAATGTCCCTCACGTAGAACCCTTCTCCCGACGTTTTCCTGAGATCCTATAACAGCCGGTGAAGCGCTGCGAAGACCCTTAGAGCGCTAAACCCCAATACACATTGCACATCTCGGACAGCAGAAAGAAACCCTTACAAGCCCCAAACTTAATTAGGTCTATCGGCGATACGTACGAAAACACACCTCGGCAGGGTCCAACCCCCTGTCCCAAAAGAACCCTATAACAGGCATACGAGACCCTAAAGAACCCTAAAGCAATTCGCATAAGTCCTCTATGGAATCCTATAGAGCCTCAAAAGAACTCTTCACGAAACCCCCTACATCCGAAAAGAAGCCTATAAACAAACCTTTATGAAACTCATAGAGCCCCTATCAATAAAAGATGCGCTGTTTCAAGACATCCCCTTAGCACGCGCAGCACAGCTTCATATCAGTTGCTGCCCTTGATTTCCGCCTGCGGCAAAAGCACCTCCATCACAATGCCCTGCTGGGTTCCTTTTCAGGGATGTTATTGAAGTTACCATAATATTAGGGACCTATAGTAAATAATATGGCTTCCTCATTATGGTAGCTTAAACAAAGTCAGTCCCTTCCCAGCCTGTCGCCTGAACCAGCTCAGATCTTCGAGCCTATACCAAATCAGGCTGCGGCTGGCGACCTCGTGCCATGCATGAGAGCATGGGCACTCGCGAGCACTACCCAGGCTTCCCAAGTGGAGCAAGCTGGGGCCCATGGATACTACGTCAGAACAGAAGCTGTGGCTTCCACCAAACGTGTACACGGCTCTTTGTTCTTGAATGCTCTGGCAACCCCGCATCGGCAGTGTAGCCCACTAGAGAAAGAATCGCCGAGGACCGTAAGGCACTAAGACTAGGCCCCAGAGTACGCCCTTATTCCCCTTTCTAGGGTTCTGGTTCCCGTATAACCCCGTTTAAACCAAACCAAAAAGGGCATCCTTTTTATTCCTAGGTTACTCTTAGGTCTAGAAGAGAAGGAGATTTTGACGAGATTTTGGGAGGCAAAGCGCAAGTGGAAGACTGAGACGGAACACAACGCTTGGAGGGTCGGGGGACTTAGTAAGTAGGTAGTAAGTTGACTTATAAGTACCCTAAAAGGAACCCTAATTGGGGTTACAGTACTTATAAGTCCCTAAAATAACCAGTTACTAAGTCCCCCGACCCTCCAAGCAAGCAAGGAGCAGTGCATGACTGACGTGAGTGGAGCCGTTCCACAAGCCCCGAAACAATCAACCCCTAAACCCCAAACCTCTAAGCCCCTAAACCCTCAACCACTAAACCAGTAACCCCTAAACCCCCCAAACCTCTAAGCCCCTATGTAAACTCTAAACCCAAACTCGCCGTAGCCCAGGGAGCCGCGGCCTTCGCCAGCAGCGCCACGGGCTCCACGAGACCCTCCTATCTCCGGCCAACTGGTCTCAGGCCGTTTAGGGCTCCATTAAACGGATACTAGCATGGCCCCGTTAAGAAGAGATACCGGCATAGTTCCTGTAAAGGTACGCTAGACTAAGCTGCTTCAAAACTTGATACTAGAATAGTTCCTTTAAGAAGTGAGGCCAATATAGTTCCATCAACGGACATACTATACTTCAGTTTCTGGAAGAATGCCCTACAATGGCTTTCTTAATTATGGCATACTGTAGTGGGTAACTACCGGGTTCCGAGTTTAGACTTAAGGAAGACCGAGACATTCACAGAGGGTTTGGGGAGGGGGGGTGTAGTTTTGCAACTCTAGACGCACGCTCACGCATAGTATTACTAATCTTTCAATCCCCTGTATTCTCCGCCTTTGTCAGTCTTTTTAGTGTTCAGCCCTCTTCTAAATTTTGTTCACTACACCGTGGAGGCTTTCCAGTATGTAGATCCTTCCAGGGTCTCTAACGGCCCTTGTTCGCCCTGCTCTTATTAGATCCTAGCTTGAGTATACCCAAACTGCCAGTATTCCTATTCGTAGTGACGACTATTACATGTACCGTTACGACTATGACTTTTGTTGCCCTTCCGCCTAGTCCTTACTGCCAGTAATACTTGCTGCATGTCTGCTACGGTTGCGAGTAATGCCATTCTCGCCGTTTGCATGGCTATCAGACGCAAGCGTGTGAGCATTTACGGTTGATGATATAAATCCTGCATTACCTTAAGGACCCTACGCTATGGGGAATTATTGTATATTCCTTATTATGGGTAATGCAGGATTTAAATCATCAACCGTTAGTACCATTTTGAGCATGAGTTTCGCCCTTGTTGACTGCACTCAGTGTTTGGGGCTACTTAAAGGGTCATGGGACTTAGCAACTAGGGTTATTAAATAAGGTAACTATACTTATAAGTCTTTATAACCCTAATTAGTGGACTTATAACCTGACGTACTAAGTCCCATGATCCTTCAAGTATGCTTTGAGGGACGACTGCAAATATGGTGGGGGTTTGGGTTTAGGGTTGCCGATGCAAACATGAAAGCTGTTTTGAGGTGGAGGCTTTGCACGGATTCATAAGGGTCTTATAGGGCTTGTAAGGGCTTCATAAGGCGTATGTAGTGTTTTTTATTTTAACGCCCCGACACCCAGGAGGATCCAGAATGCGGCACCTTACACAACAAACGGAGTAGTGGAGAACCCCCAAAGCCAAAACCAGCTGAGAGTCCTCAGCTTTGGAGTTTGGGGGTCCACGGTGGGAACCCTTGACCCCCTAAAGATCGAAAACCCGAAAAGCCCAAGCCCGAATCCCTAAACCTGAACCCTTGTGAAGCTGCAGCTGCATTCCGATCAGTGGACTGAGGAGTTAGGCACACTTAGAGGACTATGGGACTTAGTACTTGGGGTCATACATAGAGTAACTATGGCTAACAGGGTACTTATACCCCTAGCCACTAAGTCCCACGATCCTCCACGCAGACTTGACAATGCTGCCTTACACTCACAGGGACAGTCAGGATGCAACTGTCGGGCTGAGTGTAGCTGCTGCCATGTATGCCACCTGCGGTCCGCGCATGTCCAACACACGATTATTACAGGGACCCTTCGGGGTGTATGGGGGAGGGGGGGGGGGGGGGTAGGGGACTATACTTCCTCAAACAGTATTAATTAAGGCCCCCTAGCCCCCTAAAGGGTCCTTTTGAGATCAGCTGAAGAAGCGCTTGCGGCTGCGGCACGCAATCGCATTGCTCGGGCCATGTCGGCGGCTGCTCAGAAGCTGTGATATAAGGGCCTTTAACAATTACCTATACAATTGTAGGGGTTCCTTATTATAACTATATGGTATAACGGGCCCCAAGACCCTATTTTATTTATTATGCCCCTGTAGTATGCTTCAGCGACCTCAGCTCGAGGTGGCCCAGCCATTCGGCTGCTCATGACTGCAGACGCAGCCATTGGCGTTGGCGTGAACCATGCTGCTCGACTACGCTGATCGACTACTTGCGGGCAGTCACTGGAGCTCGGCTGCCAGCCAGCAACTTTGGACGTGCCGCAGGCAACTGATCCTGCTGTGACTGCTGTCGCGATGACAAGCACGGTTTAGGGTTTAGGCTTAAGGCCGCTGGTGCAACACATCTGAGCTGACCAGCAAGCAGGCAGGCTGCGTTAGAGTGCAGCTGGTGCAAGCGCGCCAACTGGGTCTGTCAGCATGGGGCTGAACACATTGTACCTGCTAGACTTGCTGCTGTAATTGCTGCGTGCTTGAGACTTGCACTGGAATTTATTCAGCGCCAACTTGGACTAGAGCTTGGAGAAGAAAGTGCTTGAATTGGGGTCATAAGTAGTTAGTTACCAGATTTGTATACTAAGTCCCACGATCCTGGAAGCAAAAGCGAGTCCGAAGCCCCCAAACCGAAGCTCCAAAGCCCCCAAACCCCAAAATCGAAGCACGAACGCAAAAAGACCCCAAACGAACCCTGTACCCTAAACCCGAACCCCTAAACCCCCAACCCCATCCCCTAAACCCTAGACCCCTAAACCCCTAAATCCCAAACCCTAATCCGTCAAACCCCTAAACCCTGAACCCCTAAGCCCTATAACCTAAATCCCAAACCCCATGAAAAAGAAAAAACAATATACCCCAAATCCCAAACCCCTTAAAAAGAAAAACAACCACCCCAGAAGTCCAAAAATCCATGATCTCCTGGCGAGGCCGCCCGGACTGGCTGCTCGCCAGGGCCCTGTTGAGCTGCAGGGCTTTTAGGCCTTTGGGGGTGTTTAGGGCTCAGGGGTTTGGGGCGTAGGGTTTGGGGGTTGGGAACCCCCATTAAGGGATCTACTTTTTGGATCCTTCGGGGGTCTGGGTAGGGCATAGGTTTAGTCAGGGTTTGGGGTTTTGGGTGTAGGGTTCAGGGCTCCGGGTTTAGTAAGGCGTAAGGTATAATGTCTAGGTTTACTTAGGGCCTAGGTTTAGGGTGTAATTGCAGGGGATAGGGTTTAGGCTCAAGGCTTCTGTTTCAAGTGTTAAGAAGCACGAGTTCTAGGAGGTTCTATATATTTGCTAAACGAGACTAGAGATCTGAAATACTTATACAAAGTTCTACATACAGATGCATGTGTATACATATATATATATATATGTGCAAGACCCCAATTAGGGTACTTATAACCTTACTTAGTAAGTCCCAGGATCCTCCAAGTAGACCCTAAAACCCTAAACCCTTATGGTACTGTACCCCTGTAGACTCCCTTAAAGGGGCCCTCAAGATAACCCTAATTACTATACTAAGTCCCATGATTCATCCTCCAAGTAAAAGGGTTTTGGGACCATGGCCATGAGAGATATGATGGTCAGAGCGAGGGACTTAGTAGCCAGTGTCAAATCATACCATGATTGTCTGTTTAGGGGTTTAGGGTTTAGGGTTTTAGGGGTTTAGGGTTTGGGGGTTTAGGGTCTAGGGGTTGAGGGTTTAGCGTTTAGGGTTTAGGCTGCTGAAACGGTGCCGGAGTCTTTATACTTGGAAGTCACAGATGCAGAGCTCGCAGAATAGACCGATCACAGAATCCCCACCTGCGGGGCAGCAGGAGGATAACGAAGTTCAAGCACATTGAAGCTCGCGGGCTTCAATGTATTCGTAATCTTGTTGTTCTGTTTATTTTTATGTTGTTGTAATCATTGAACATAGTTATTAGCGCGGTAAGCCTCTTGACATGACACTGACATCCAGCTGCGGCAAGCACCTGTGGGCCCTAATGGATCTTCCAAGGCGTCTTTACATCACTAGGTATGTCGAAGTCGACACCTAGGTCATGGATGTCCGAGGAACTATATGCAAATACAATCTACACCTACGCATAACGGTGGGCCTGCATCTGCGCAAGCCTTGCTCGTTTGCCGATGCTTCACCTGTTTGTGGAGTTTCCCAAAAATAGGGGGCCGTAATATAGCACCCTAAATAGTAGGATCCTTATTGTCAGGGCCCCCAGATAAGGTACCCAGTTGCACCAACAGCATCAGTGTCAGGAGGAGGAGGCGGAGGAGGAGGAGGAGGAGGAGGAGGAGGAGGGATCCTCTAAGTATAGTTCTGATTCAGATCGAATCCTGCCGCCGCCACAGATTGGTCCCAGCTTAAACGCAGCAGTCCGCTAGAAGTGCCCATCCTCGGTATATGCTCCATGATGGCTCGTTTCTTCCTTGTGATGCTCAGTGTGGCTGCTTTTGCAGCCCATGTACATGGCTATTCTTGCACTGCCGCGAAGGCTCGCCAGGACTGTGAGTGTTGGTTTTGCTTGAACGTTGCGGCGATGGCTTATGACGACAACTGGTCGCCTCATATGGCTGACTGCTTAACCTCCTTCCTAGGCGTTCTTGGGCTTTCGTGGACGTGAAGGCAAAGTTTGGTGGTGGATGTGACCAGCAAACCTCCAAGTTCGCTCAGTGTATGTGCCCGAGGCTGGAAGCTCACTTCAGCGATGTGGCAGATTACTGCTCCGACATTTGCACTGGAGAACTCAAGCCACGCGACAAGGATGAAATCGAGAAGACCATCAGCTCAGTGATGAGTGTTTTTAACTTGCTTGGCGATTGCCCCGGTTCCAGGATCAGCTGCATGTCTGGTGGCACCAGCAAGCTCATGCTAGAGTTCATGGGATCGCATGAGTCTCAAGGCGCAAATGCTAGCCTTGGCTTGAAAGTGGCAATCAGTGATTCTTCAGAAGCTGGTCAGCACACCTACTCTTTGCATGCATCTTTGGACGCTACTGCTCAAACGAGCCATGCGCAGATGAACTCTGCTGCGTGCATGGTTGGTGCTGGCATCCTGTTCACGCTGCTGTGAAGATGTCGAGTATGCTTCTGAAATGAGCGTTTTTCAAGGGCGGGCCCCACCAGGATGTAATGTAATATAGAAAGCCTGAATCACTTGTCATACTATTCTTCAGGGTTCCTTATCTTCTACTGGCTACTACGATATACCCCAAAGCCTTGTTGTTATGATCAAGGCCCCTATACTTACAGCCCAAAGCCCTAGATCATTGTAGAACCGCTGTATAACCCTGTTTGAGGAATCTGCCAATGCGATGCTTGAGTGTAGTAGTAGTAGTAGTAGTAGTAGTAGTAGTAGTAGTAGTAGTAGTAGTAGTAGTAGTAGTAGTTGTTGTTGTTGTTGTGGTTGCAGCCGTCGTGTCAGTCACGTTTAGGGGATCCTAGCCCCAATTTTGAAGGCCCTTCGGATGTACAGGGCTAACACGAGGGCGCTAGGCTTTCCTTGATCCACAAAGGTGGTGGAGTAATCCCAAAGTTAAGAGTCCTTGTACCCAGACCCTCGGGGAGGATCCAAAAAGTAGATCCCTTAATGGGGGTTCCTAGAAAGTACCGTTAGTAGTACAGGGCCCCAAATTAAAGGATCTACTTTCTAGATCCTCCCGAGGATCTGGGTCAAGAGTCCTTGTATAAGGGATGCTTCATCCCAGCTTTTAAGGCCTCCAGTTACTGTCTCACGGGAGCTCATCAGGTCCCATCTCAGGCCGCAGCTTGTTCTTACTCTGGGGTTTAGGGCTTGGGGTTTAGGGATTAGGGTTTAGGGATTAGAGTTTATGGTTTAGGGCTCAGGGTTGTTGTTGGGTTTAGAGTGTAGGCTACCTGTCTACACTAAGGTAGCATTACCATCTTCTCTTGTTAGTCTTACTAGCTGCCACATCATGAAGAGGTGCTTTGCGTCCTTGTCCGAGGGTCCAAGTGCCCAACTAAGTTTCGCCGTGCTCTAGATCCTAAATGCTATACTTCGAGTTTTGGTACTTAAGACCTATGCGGTGGTACTTGGAACCGAACATAGTAATTACGAAGCAATGCCGAGTCTGATGAATTGCATGCAGTTCCTTCTTAGCCCTTGAATAAGGAACATGCTTGAAATTGTAGAGGACTCTTGCAAGGCTCTTGGGTGCTTGTTGTCTGTTTTGTCCTTGCTCTGTTTTGTCCTTGCCTTTTTCGCTTAGGGTTTCATGTATGTAATGGAGATCTCCCAAGAGATGCATTTGTTACCAAACTTCCCACGGGAGTAGAGCTAAGGAGTAGCCCTTAGATTGCGAGAAAAGCCCACACTGTCCGAGATGACATCAGTTCTGCGCCAGCCCAGCGCGCAGGGACGTGACTCCACCTTGTGGGACGCAGTCATCAAAAGTGCAAATGCAAGGCAGTCCTTCCAGGTTGTATGTAAAGGACGGTGAAACTAGGTAACTACGCAACCAAATAGTTGTGTGTATACAATCAAAAGCATATATACATATATACATATATGCAGACCCTTGAAACCATATCTGATACATAAGGGGCTTTCATATCACAACGAAGGAAACGATTTAGGAGTCTTACGTAATTAGACAGGCCTGGATAAGAGCTCCAGCAAGTAAGAGACCCTAGCAAACCCCGAACACACATTTCTGGGCCCTTAACCCGGCACTCAAAAACCTCAAAACAGGGGTTCAGGGTTGAAGGATCAATGTCGCTGGTGTTTTCCGATCCTTCGTGTCTGCATCTCGAGAGCTTTTTGATGCACCAGCGCAATCGATGCAGACATTGCCACGAGACTGTTATCTCCATGCCATTTCCATATCCCTTGGTGCCTGGACCCTCAGATACGTTAGGAGCTCTACCATTTCCTCACAGCTCCCAAGCCGCAAAACTCCAGCACCTCCAACCTGCGAAGAACCGTCCAAGAGGCCCTCCAGGCCGGACCTATGAGCTACAGCAGAAGCGCGGGACCCGAGGGTTTCATGGTGTTGGATGATCATGGGACTTAGGGTTTAGGGTTCAGAGTTTAGGGTTTATGTAGGATTCAGGGGTTCTTTTGTCGGGATCTAGAGGGATACTATAAGGATTTCGAGTTTAGGGTTTTTCTTACTGGAGGATGGGACTTGATAGGTGAGGTTATAGGTACCCGAAGTGGGGGGTGACAGCTGAGTATGATTATATTTACCATATTTAGAGCGCTAGTTACTAAGTCTCCATGATCCTCCAAGTGTTGCAGTTGGTTACTCATACAATTAAAAACTGTTATGGCTGCGGTGATCAGTACTGCATTTGTTTTTCCTATCACTATGAATGCTACTAGTATCATTGTTGCTGTGGGTTGCTGTTATTACTGCCATGGTAACGGTTAGCATGATTGCTTTAGGACACGTGTTACTGAAATTATTGTCAGTATTGTTAAGAATGTTACTCGAATTCTTGCCGTCACCATAAATTAGGGTGCAGGGTGGATGTGAAATGTTGTATTGGCAGTAGCTTTGTTGCTGATGCTAAGTTAAAGCGTTAACGTTAATATGGCAGAAACACTCAATTTGTATCAACATCAGAAGTTCTAAGCGACGAGTATCGCTATGACTGTTATTTCTCAATGATCTGTAGTCGGGCTTACAGGGTTGTCAAGGGGTTCAAATAGAATTCGAGCAACGTTTTTGAAAAAACGGAGCTCCACTTCTCCAGGGCGTAGTGGTGTTGTATAGGGTTGAGGCGGTTTGGGGGCCTAGGGTTTTGGCGATTTGGGGTTACGGGGTTAGAGAATTTCCGATGTCCTTCAAGTTTGGGTTAGGTCCAGGCTTTGCCTAGACCCCCCACAGCAGCAGTTGACACCTCATACACCTGAGACGCTTCATTAGCGAGAGTCGCAGACAAGTTCTATAAGGGTAATCTGAAGGTGCTAGAAGAGCTCTCTAGCCCTTCTCCCAAACCTTATCCTAACTACTGTACTAAGGCCCCTATAGCAGTGGGTTGAATGGCTGTAGCGGTTCAGGGGGCTAGGGCCGGAGGTTTCCAATGAAAGGGCTCCGGCGCCTGCCTTAGTGGGATGTGCAGAGATTTGCTCAGAAAAACCTAAGGCTTAGGGATTGTGGGCGAGTACGGCGTCGGGGTATTCGACTTTTGAGTTCTAGGATGTTCCAAAGGCCAGAATTCCAATCAGCATTCCGGGTGTTGGCAGTTGGCAGTGGAATCAGTGTGCGGCTTTGGCTTGACAGTCTTTGAGCAAGAGGAATGCAGAATCTTAAAGCCTTTCCGGGGCGGAGGTGAAGAGGTAAGTAAGTTCCTAAAGTGTACACGAGGCTTTGGTGGGTTCCTTACGAAAAAGAGAAGGACGGTGGGATCACGGTACTAGTGCACGTCCAGATTTTCCTGGCTCGCAAGAGACATGAGCATGTCATTTGGTTTGCTGCATCCCGTGCCAACTTGCAAGCTTAAACAACCTGAATGCAAAAAAAAGTTTCCGAACAAGACTACGTAGCTTGTCCATCTTTCAGTTGCATCCGCTGCCCCACGGTGGAAGGCAAGGGATTTGGGGAGCTTTGTGGCGAAGTCGAAAAGGATTTTCTTGGAAACTCTGTCATGGCTGTTGACTGTCTGGTTCTTAGTGGTTGAAGCCAGCTTTCCGACATCAAAAACTTCGCAAATGACCTTTCACAAGCCTGACTCGTGATTCCGAACTTGCCCGGCCACGACTTTCGAGTTTTGGGATTGATCCAGGACAGCTGCCTGCCACTGTGTTCACGCGGGCATCTTTCAACTTAAGTTGGAGGGCGATGATCGCGGTCATGACCATGGTGTATGAGTCAGTCAGCACTCTGGCATGACGTAGCGGGGTTTATCTTTTTGTAGTTGCATACTTTGTAATTAGTCTGCTTTGTGCCGAGGAAGGCAGTGGACATCGAGACCAAGGCATGCGTCTGCCAGCGACACGTGTAGACGTTTGATCTACGGCTTTGTGGTGGGGAACTAGTTGGGGATTCAATTCAACACACAGGCAACATGGAACCTAAACCCCGGGTCCCTTGAAGTTCAGCAATCAATGGTGCAGTTCCAGGCAGCACGAACACACACAACAGGCACAAGGGCTGCAACCAACATGGGGTATAAATGAATAGACTCGGCTTTGGGGATACATTGTAGCATTACAGAGGGGCCATAAAAGGATGAAATATTTGCCAATATATGAACGATTTTTGTGCTTAACTCCACGCCGGACAGGTGCTGACGCACAAGATCCAGTGGGGAGGTGGGCCAGAGTGCGAGCGGAGCGAAGTGGACCAGGGTCACTTTTTGTTGCTGTGTTGCACGATTTCTTTTTAGTGCAATGTTGTCACACTGACTACACCACCTGTGATGACGGCGAAGGCAACAAGCGACGTTGAACCCACAACCTTCATCTTTACTTCCTAAACCTGCCCGTATCTTCCAACAGAACGCATAGGCCCGGGCAGGGTCAGCAAAACGCAAGCCGACATGTACACGAGGGAGGACCGGGACAACACACCCTTGCAACTAACCCCGCACCGGGCGACTCCCATGGAACATGAAACACAGCCCTGATGACCTTGGCCCCAATACCATACTGCCATACTCCCTCTTTTCTGCACTCCATCGCACTTACTCCCACTTGCTGAGCTTCGGATGCACAACCCAACAGCCCAACCCAAGGCTTCTGAAGCCGAAAGCCCCCGGACCCAAACCCACACGTCCGAAAAATGCCCACCTCCGAATCCGTCCTTTGCCAGTCGACCCGGGCCTCTTCAACCCCCTATTCGAAGAGATGACGCTATGCAGCACTTCATGGTTCTGTCGGAATTTTGTTTCTTGTTGCGTGTATTTCCGTACGCATCGCTAATTAGGGCGAGTTAGCATTTGATCTGGCTTCTCATGGCATTAATGTCATGCCGGATGTCCACTAAAGCCCCCTTGTCTTGTTGGAAGGACACCCGGGCTCTAGACCTGGAGGGTCGCGGGACTCAGAAACCAGGACTATATGAAAAGTAGATTTTAAAACGACTTAGAACGGACCCTCGTTTCGGTAATCCTGTTTTCTACATTACCGAAGATATAATAATCAGTAACTTCCCCGACCCCGCAAGTAAGGCCTAGTCCAGACGCATTGTAAAGACCTCAGTACTTAGTACTGTTTAGTTACGGATGGATCATACAAATTGGATATCACAGCCTTCCGTGCAAACGGCCATGATATTTGGGAGGAAAGAAGAGCCAATTTATTTAGTCCGTCCGTGGACTACATCCTAGTCTTGGGAAGCCATTGAAGCACCAACTGTCGCCAGTCTCGATCACACCGGTAAGCAGTACAGCTTTTAAACATTTGCATAAGTTTAAAAGTTGGATGTTTGGTTTCAGGCTTTTCCAGGGGCTTAACCTTTTTAGGTTTGAGGTTTAGGGTGTCGGGCTTCTCGGAGTTTTGGGTTCATTGAGGGTTTGGGGGAACCGCCAACAGCTGGAAGTACTCAGGAACGGCGTGCCCTGCCTAGACAAGGCCGGAGGGATCTGCTTATAGCAAGACTCAGAAGATCAAAAGACGTGGTGCTCAGGTTCCGAAACATGTAACTATTATTTGTTGTAAGTACTTATTGCTCCAATTGGGGTACATATAACATCGAGTCCCACTCTCCTCCAAGTAGTGGAGTCCCACTATCCTCCAAGTAATGGACGTAGGAAATAAGGTATCATAAGTTTGAGTAAGGTTTGAACTGAGACCTAGGTAAGGGATCGGGGAGTTTCTGAAGGGGAGCCAGGTCGAGGAACAGCAAGTTATGAGGTACATTGGGCCATGGTTACAAGTAAGATAACCCCAGTCAAATCTATCTAGCCGACCTACTACCCCTTACGTGGCGATGGTCAGGTCCAGGAGTATCACCTCGTCGCCGCAATGGATATGGTCCTGGAGCAGTTCTCCAAGGACGTATCCAGGCTGGGCCAGACCCATAGGGAGCAATATCCCGAAATTCAGGATATGCTTGCGAGGGCGTCTTATTGATATGCGCTGTTTTACCGAAAGTCACGTCATGTTGGGCTCCTGATGTGAATATGCCTTACATTCCTTCATTGACGGATATTGGGCTCTCTGGCGGGAGGGCTCTTTACAAGGTTCAGGGTGCAGGCAATGAGGGTCGGTGGTTCAGGACTTGAGGCTTGAGAGGAGAGGATTCAAGAAATTTCAGGTGTTGGGGTGTAATACGGAAGCCTAAAGAAATAATTGGTATGCCAAGCTTTCGGGTTCCTGAATATACCTGTAGGACCTGTACCTATACGATAACAGATGTTACGGTCCAAAGTTTCCGGATTCTAAGCTTGGGGCTCTTGGGTTGCACGCTCGGGGTTCGCGGTTTTAGAGGTTATAAGTATCCCAAGTGGGGCTAGAAGTAAGCATAGCTCTAGTTACCTTGTCTGTAAACCTGGTTACTAATTCCCATGATCCTCCAAGTAGAGTCTATGTTTATAGGGCAAATTGGTTTTGAGGGGTTTGGCTCACGGTTTGGTATTATCTTCGGCTTGGGCAGCAGAGCCTGAGGATTTCGGCGACTCCCCTTAGTAGTAGAGTAGGTAACCTTCAGCCTTTTTTGGGTAGTATAGCCCCTATATAATCCCTATATAACCAAAAAGGTTAACCTTTAGTTCCCCATGATATCCGACAAGTAGGTAATTCAACAGGGCTCCTTTAAAGGGGTCTATAAGGGCTACTAGTTATAAGAGATCTATAAGGCGACTATAATATACGGTAAACCCCATGATATCCGACAAGTAGGTCCCGATCGGCAGGATCCACAACAGCCTCTTCCGCAAGACCACTCTGAAACCCAAGCAGCTCACATTCGAGGCCTTGCAGGTTTAGGGTCTTTAGGGTTGGGGTGTGGGGCCTTTGGGCCTTCAGGGTTAAGGGCCCTTGAAGGATCGATAGGATTTAGGGCCTTTAGGGTTTAGGGTTTAGGGCTAGGGCCTTTGGGGGATTTCGCAAGGTATACTTTTTTCTAAAGTTCCGCGCATAGTTGCTTCTGAGGCTTCGTAGGCTCACTCCGGACAAAGCCTACTTTGGGTATCAGGGGACTTAGTAAGTAAGGTTATATGTACCCTAATTGGCGTGATAAGCAATTATAACCATAGTTACCCCATTTTTACCCCGAATTCTGAGTCCTATGATCTTCCAAAGTACACCTAGACCCCGCCCTAAACTGTATCTCGCAATATGTGAGCTTTGAACCCGATCCGAGGCTATCCCGGAAACTCCAAAGCCCATTGCTTAAGGAAGATATTTCAGATATCTTCAGATCATGTAAAGGACCCTCCCTATACTTTAGTTCCTGTTGCCAAGTTAGGTGAAGGGTCATGAAGTCATGGGACATAGTATCCAGGGTAGTAGATAAAGTACTTACACTTTTTAATTATTACCGTACATGTTGTTACGTACAACCCGGATTGAGGTATTTATGACCTCGCCCACTAAGTCACAATTTCGGACTTCTGATTTGGTGTGCTAGTTTTTTGGGTGTTAGGGTTTAACCAGAATTCCTCAAGCTCCAAGCCCCTACAAGCCAGGATCCAGAAGGATCAGGAGCCTTGGTAAGAAGGGTGTAGCTGTTCCTAGGTTATAAGTACCCTCGTTGCAGTGATACGGTTGATGATGTAAATCCTGCATTACCTTAAGGACCCTAAACTATGGGAATTATGGTAAATTCCTTATCATGGGTCATGCATGATTTATATCATCAACCGTATCAACCATGACTGAGCAGGTTAGCTTTTTTGGGCTACAACGCCATGGCTAGGTTTCGTTAGGATACTGGGCAACTGAGCTAGCAGAAGCCTTGCTAAGTCTGCTAAGTCGCCTGGCCGCAGAGGTTCAGCACCCAGAATTCTGGGAGTATCCGAAAAGACGGTTTAGGGTTTAGGGTTTAGGGACCCCTCATGAGGATGCGAAAACATACCCTGCTGTTGCATAGGGTACTGGGCACCTGACCTCCAAACACTCCCCAGACCCCCGGGAGGATCTAGAAAGTAGATCCCCTAATTTGGGGCCCTATAGTACTAAGGGTACTTTATAGGAACCCCCATTAAGGGATCTACTTTTTGGATCCTCCCGGGGGTCTGGGTCGCCGACTGCTTGCCAGGAAATCTTTAACCCTCTGGAAGTGTGTTTGGATCGTCCGGAGCCCGGTTGAAAGCCTAGCGCTGTCACTGTTTCTTCGGGAAAGTACAAGCAGTCCATTCGACTTCAATAGTACCATCTGATACTACATAATACAGTACAGTATACGGTATACAATAGGCCTTAGTGCCATGACATTTTATGCTATGGTATATACTACAGTATAGCAGACAATAGCAATAGGCCTTGGTGTTGACTTTGAGTGCACCTGGTTGAAACTCAAGTTCTGAGTCGGAACGCTGTGTCCAGCATGCCCGGGTCCCTCGTGGTTTAGGGTTTATGGGTCTATGGGTTTAGGGGTTTGGGGATTAGGGGTTTTGGGTGTACGGGTTTAGCCCTTGATTCCGATAGCCACCCGTTTAAACAGAAACGGCCCTGAACCTGCGCCCTTATTTTCAAAGCCCTTATGTAAACCCTGAACCCTCCACCCTAAACGCCTGAAGAAGTGAACCCCAATAGTCCTGGGGGGCCTAGACCCGAAACTTTGAACCCCAAACCCAAGAGGCCCCAAAGCCGTTAAAACCCCTGAGCCCCTGAACCCCAGGTCCGAAGCCATGAAGGAGTCTGGGTTCTTTTTACGGAACTTAGTTTAAGTTACCATGATAGGGATGTATAGTAAATAATGTGGTTTTCTTATTATGGTACCTTAATTTAAATCCCTTAACAAGACAACCCCAAAGTCTCAGCTTTCGAGCCACTGAGGTGTGGAAAAGACCTGGGGTGCAATCTCCTTGTTGCGAAAGTCCTGGCGTCCATCCAATGAGGCTCCGCATGGATAGCTTGTCTCAAAGGCTCTGGCAGCCCTATGACATGACATGCCTGCAACGACGGGGCACAAGACTCGACATACTAAACAAGATGTTAAGTTTGCCATTTGGGTGGTTGTCAAAATGATGGTCCCTGTCTAGGTACCCTAAATATTAGATGCCGTATTATAATAGGGACCCAAAAAGGGACCATTATTTTGACAACCACCCATTTGGAGGTCGATGAGATCTATCACAGCCTCTCCTATCGCGTCGCCACGGCAGCTGGCATCCTATCCCAGTCGGACATCCTCCACCAGGCGGGAGGGGCTGCTTGGGTTTCTTAACTTAGATCCCCAATACCTAACCTTTAAACTTTTTGGTTTATTATAGTTTAGTAGGAATCTGAAAGTTTAACCTTTCATTTCTGTGGCTTGTTGGGGTAGTTAGTAAGTTAAAGGGCTCCTTGAGGGGTTCCCTGAAGGGATCTATGTTGGTTGTGAGAGGGGCTTAGAGGATCTGGGACTTAGTGACCAGAGCTAGTAGCATTAATAAGGTAGCTATAGCTACGATTCTACGATTGCTTGCAACTCCGATGAAGGGACTTGCAAACTTAATCCTAGTAGTAGAGTAGGCAACCTTTGACCTTTTTCGGTGTAACCACTATGTAACCAAAAAGGTTAACGTTTAGTTCCCCCATGATACCCGACAAGTAGGTAATTAGTAAGTCCCATGATCCTCCAAGTGTCGACTTCTGGAGGTTTGGATCTGGGGTGTTTGGTCTTAGTTCGCTTATCAACCCAGTTGAGGGTTGTATGGTCTAGGGGATTTAGAGCTTAGGGGGTTTAGCCGGGATAGTGTTTGGGATCCCAGATAGTCCGATATACCCTTTCATGAAGAATAGTTCCTGGAACGGCCTCCTTGCATTCTGGAGCGTTGACTTCCTCACGTAATTCCGACCCGGTTCGAATCCCCGTCGTGCACCCACTTGAAGGATCATGGGACTTAGTAACTAGGGCCTGGGGTTATAAATACGGTAACTATATTTCTAATTACTTACAACCCCAGTTAGGGTACTTATAACCTTACTTACTAAGTCCCATGATCCTCCAAGCAGCAGACAGTGCGCACTCGGCACCCTGCTCTGGGCAAGAGAAACCCTAACCCTTGGCACTCTTGTCATAATTGTAGTATAAGGGGCCCCAAAACCCTATTCTGATTATTCAGGCCCCTATATTACTTTTTGTCACAATCATCAACAGCTCCAAACTTGAATTCACAAAGGGCATGCTCAAAAAAAGAGCAACCGCAGTGGGAGACCAGGGGCTCCAGCTCAACCGGCAAGCGGAGAACAAATAAAGGCACCATCCCTACCCCAATATGGGGGGCCTTAATAATCAGAATAGCTCTCTCTATATGTGTATATATATATATAAGGGTTAAGATAAGGGATACTACAAGGGCCCCCCGAACAGTCGTTCAATGTTCTGCGGGTCAACCCTGAGTGAGGGCAATGCAAGCCTAAATCCCTCCTGCAGCCCTTCAGAAGCCTCAAGTTTGGAAAATCCTGTAAGCAGAAGCCTGTAATTAAACCCAGGAAATGTAAGGCCCAAACCTAGATCAGACGGGCACCTTTTGCTTTATCCCTGACAGACTACTACGGGTTTGTGTCGATGCAGGCCCTTTACCAGTTGCTCCAGCTCAGTGAAGGTGACCTGAGCCTCTTTCACCTGCAGTCAGCAGGGTTTTGAAGGGTTAAACGGTTAAACCCTTCGCCCTGAAGAGGGGGGGGTAGGGGTTCAGGGTATTGGGGTCTTAGAGTTTTGAGGTCAGTGCGTCCTTGTGTTTTGGAGTTTATACACACACAATCCTTTTCTAGTTTTCAGCAAGGAACTGGGGTGATGCCGTAATTGGCCACGACAAAGTGGGGTGTCATCCGACTTTGGGGTTCGGGCTGGTAGGAAGTCATGATGGGACCATATGGGACCTTTCAGTCTGTGAAACCCACAAGGTTGAAGCGCACCGAAATTACGCAATTGTCGGTTGAAGCGCACCGAAGTGACGCAACTTTCGGGTCTCAGGGTTTAGCATTCCGGGTTCGGGTTGAGTGGACCCGACGGTGGAACACCAATGTGGTTGTCGTACAGTTGGAGTAGACCCCGGCGTTCTAGACCTATAGAGCCCTAAAGAACCCTACTTGGAGGTTCACGGGTAATTATCAGTGGGGTTAAAAGAAAGGTAACTATACATATAACTCATATTAGGGACTCATAACCCTACATATAACCAGCCATGAATCTCCAAGTATAGAACCCTATTGAGCCCCAGAGAACCCGGTAGAACTCTACGCGTAGACCTTAAACCACAAGACATGACGGCTCAAGGATCAAAACCTCTACAGTTACCTCATTTATAATCCTAGTTTCTAAGTCGCATGATCCTCTAAGTTGTCCCAACCACCCCCCTTCCCAAACCGCAAGCACTTAAAATGCCGGGGCTTGGAGAATTAGTAGTAGCATTTCCCTATACGGTTATGCTGGCAAGCCTCCCAGAACCTCAGTCCAATTCCATCGGCCTTTCTATTCAATCCCTGCGCTTCTCTGACCCCAAATTGCTATGCTTTGCAGCTCAGGCGAAGCTCAGTATCGCGTGGCCCGGTCTCAACCCAAGCAAGAGAGTGTGCATGGGCTTGCGCGTTTTGCTTTTTAGGCTTGACGCTGCCTGCACGTAGGTTTTTGGATTGAAGTTATAGTTGGGCTGGAGGGATGATTTAGGGTTTGGATTGCAGGCTCGAAGGGCGAAGATACAATGTGTGGTTCGAGGCTTAATTAGCAGTTGGCGTCTACAATTCCAAGGTATCAGGTTCCAGCGTTTCGAGCTACTTAGAGGATCATGGGACTTAGTAATTAGGGTTATAAATAGGGTAACCATAGTTATAACTACTTATAACCCCAATTAGGGCACTTATAACCATACTTACTAAGTCCCCTGATCCTCCAAGTATTATAGTTGCAACACTGTTCGACCCCCAGTCTAAATGGGAGTTTCCGAAAATAGGGGACCCTAATACAGTACCCTAAATCGTAGGATCCTTAGTATAAGGAGCCCAAATAAGGTGCCCCTAATTTTCGGAAACTCCCAAATACACCGCTCTCCATCCCATTCCCTCCGTCTTGAAACCGACAAACTATGGCAGACTAAGAGTAACTGACTCTACATGGGGCTGTGTAATAACCCCGCGCCTCTTCGTTCTGTGTTCGCTGGGCGCCTGTTGGAAGGATAGTGTTTTGGCTGGAAAAACGATAAGAAGAAAAAAAAACGATAACGTCAATTTATGATGTCAGTAGTCTTGTACATTATTTGCTGCTGATGGCTTGTATGTTGTGCATTCGCCGCGCCTGCAGAGTTCCACAACTCAAATCAAGCAGCTTCATCACAACCCTCACGAATGCATTTCGCCAGGGACTCTAAATGCATTCGGGCCCGCGCACTCGGGGTTGGGAGGAGCATGGACCACGTTGGGCTTTTTCACGGCGATTTGAACACGCACTAACCGCTTCGTCACCAACCTCGCGCATGCATTTTGGCACGGATTCTAAACGCATTTGCTCCCTGCACTCGGGTTTGGGAGTGCGGGGTATCTTGGGCTTTTACACGGCGATTTGGGCACGCACGAACCGCTTCGTCACCAACATCACGAATGCATTTCGGCACGGATTCTAAATGCATTCGGGCCCGCGCACTCGGGGTTGGGAGGAGCTTGGGGCCAAGTTGGACTTTTTCACGGCGATTTGAGCACGCGCAAACCGCTTCGTCACCAACCTCGCGAATGCATTTTGGCACGGATTCTAAACGCATTTGCTCCCTGCACTCGGGTTCCCTGCCCCTGAACCTCAAACCTTAAACCTTAACCCTAAACCCCAAACCCGAATCCCTAGCCCTTAACCGTAAACCATCTTAAACCTTAAACCTTAAACCTGAACCCCGAACCTGAATCCCTAGCCCTTAACCTTAAACCTTAACCTTAAGCCCCAAACCCGAATCCTTACCCCTTGACCTTAAACCTTAAACCTTGACCCTAAACCCCAAACCCGAATCCCCACCCCTTAACCTTCAACCTTAAACCTTAACCCCAAACCCTCATTGCAAACCGCTTCGTCACCAACCTAACGAATGCATTTCGGCACGGATTCTAAATGCATTTGCGCCCACGCACTCGGGCGTGGGAGCATGCATGTCGGCTGTTCACACGGCGATTTGGGCAACCGCTTCGCCGCCAACCTCGCGAATGCATTTTGGCACGGATTCTAAACGCATTTGCTCCCTGCACTCGGGTTTGGGAGTGTCAACAGTAGTACAGTGGACAGTAGTAATACGATAGTAGTACAGTAGTACAATAGTAATACAGTAATAGTACAGTGGTAGTACAATAGTAGTACAGTAGTACACTAGTAGTACAGTAGTAGTACAACAGTAGTACAGTAGTACAGTAGTAATACAGTAATAGTACAGAAATAATACCAATAAGCAAAGCATAAAGCGAGCGCCTGAAACCCTAAACCCTAAACCCTAACAAACCCTAAACCCTAACGAACCCTAAACTCCTAAACCCTAACAAACCCTAAACCCTAAGCCCTAAACCCTTCCCAAAGGGGGGTCGGTCCAGATTGGACCCAAAATTGAATTTTTTATACAAACCTTAGTACTGGAGAGGCCTCTTTTGAGCTAGCGTCCAATCCCCGATTCGGCGGTTCACCCTAGATATGTTGGGCTGTTACACGGCGATTTGGGAACCGCTTCGTCACCAACATCACGAATGCATTTCGGCACGGATTCTAAATGCATTCGGGCCCGCGCACTCGGGGTTGGGAGGAGCTTGGGGCCAAGTTGGATTTTTTCACGGCGATTTGAGCACGCGCAAACCGCTTCGTCACCAACCTCGCGAATGCATTTTGGCACGGATTCTAAACGCATTTGCTCCCTGCACTCGGGTTCCCTGCCCCTGAACCTGAAACCTTAAATCTTAACCCTAAACCCCAAACCCGAAACCCTAGCCCTTAACCGTAAACCATCTTAAACCTTAAACCTCAAACCTAAACCCCGAACCTGAATCCCTACCCCTTAACCTTGAACCTTAACCTTAAGCCCCAAACCCGAATCCTTACCCCTTGACCTTAAACCTTAAACCTTGACCCTAAACCCCAAACCCGAATCCCTACCCCTTAACCTTCAACCTTAAACCTTAACCCCAAACCCTCATCCCAAACCGCTTCGTCACCAACCTAACGAATGCATTTCGGCACGGATTCTAAATGCATTTGCGCCCACGCACTCGGGCGTGGGAGCATGCATGTCGGCTGAATTCACACGGCGATTTGGGCAACCGCTTCGCCGCCAACCTCGCGAATGCATTTTGGCACGGATTCTAAACGCATTTGCTCCCTGCACTCGGGTTTGGGAGTGTGGGGTATGTTGGGCTGTTACACGGCGATTTGGGAACCGCTTCGTCGCCAACATCACGAATGCATTTCGGCACGGATTCTAAATGCATTCGGGCCCACGCACTCGGGGTTGGGAGGAGCTTGGGGCCAAGTTGGACTTTTTCACGGCGATTTGAGCACGCGCAAACCGCTTCGTCACCAACCTCGCGCATGCATTTTGGCACGGATTCTAAACGCATTTGCTCCCTGCACTCGGGTTCCCTGCCCCTGAACCTGAAACCTTAAATCTTAACCCTAAACCCCAAACCCGAAACCCTAGCCCTTAACCGTAAACCATCTTAAACCTTAAACCTCAAACCTAAACCCCGAACCTGAATCCCTACCCCTTAACCTTAAACCTTAACCTTAAGCCCCAAACCCGAATCCTTACCCCTTGACCTTAAACCTTAAACCTTGACCCTAAACCCCAAACCCGAATCCCCACCCCTTAACCTTCAACCTTAAACCTTAACCCCAAACCCTCATCCCAAACCGCTTCGTCACCAACCTAACGAATGCATTTCGGCACGGATTCTAAATGCATTTGCGCCCACGCACTCGGGCGTGGGAGCATGCATATCGGCTGTTCACACGGCGATTTGGGCAACCGCTTCGCCGCCAACCTCGCGAATGCATTTTGGCACGGATTCTAAACGCATTTGCTCCCTGCACTCGGGTTTGGGAGTGTGGGGTATGTTGGGCTGTTACACGGCGATTTGGGAACCGCTTCGTCACCAACATCACGAATGCATTTCGGCACGGATTCTAAATGCATTCGGGCCCGCGCACTCGGGGTTGGGAGGAGCTTGGGGCCAAGTTGGGCTTTGTCACGGCGATTTGAACACGCACTAACCGCTTCGTCACCAACCTCGCGAATGCATTTTGGCACGGATTCGAAACGCACAGCTCCAGCGCGGAGTGAAAAGGTTCCCATCGGAATCCTATCAGACTAAGCTTGCAGCTTCATATCCCGTATATTTAAACCTACTTCACGCCAAAGAAGCACAACCACTGCCTTCGATATACGAATGTTTCCATGTCCCGTATACTATATACTACAGTTGTACTACACTTCAGTAAAAGGTTCTTTCATGGGAAAACGATAAGAAGAAAAAAAAACAACGATAACGCCATTTAGCGTATAGGAACTGAACACGGGGTTTTCACACCACCCCACATGCGGGATTTTCAGAGATTCCGGGAGATCAAGAGGAGTCCTATAGCGGCCGAAATAATTACCTATACTAGCTTGAGGGTTCCTTATGACTTAGAAGTATAGTACACTGGGCCCCAAAACCATATTCTAATTATTAAGGTCCCTATATTAGGAGTCTTAGTCTGTCACAACCCTAATTTCAACACCAATAACAATGCTTAGGAACGGTAGAACAGCCATATCCGGTCCTTAGAAACAGAGTGCAGAACCCTGCCGACCGCATAAATCCCTTACAGACCTTCTAAACCTCCAAAGCAACACTAGACCTGTAAAAGCACCATAGTTCTTCAGCAAGTACATATCTATGTAAATATATATATATATATATATACACATATATATATATATATCCACATAACCATACGAGAATCCCAGCTGCGGCTCAAATTTCCTAAACAACTAAACCCTAAACCCTAAACCCTAAGCCCTAAGCCTAAACCCCAACAAAAACCAAGAGGCGCCTCCTCTGGGAGGGAGTGACCATGGGCGCCTGGGCCGCCTTTGCACCCATTTGGCCCCTTTACTTGGAGGTTCATGGGTAGTTATAAGTAGGGTTATAAGGCCCCGACAATGAGTTATAAGTATAGTTACCCTACTTATAGCCCCACTTATAACTACCCATGATCCTCCAAGTATAGGTTTAGGGGTTGTTTAGGGTTTACATAGGGGGCTCGTTACTGATAACAGACCCTTTGCAACGAGCAGCCCCTGGAACCCACATGGGAATTTCCCAAATAGGGGACCCTAATATGTACCCTATTAAATAGTAGGATCCTTATTATCAAAGACCCCAAAAAGGTACCCCTAATTTCCAGAAACTCCCACATCAAGCGCTGGATTTTGGTGGGTTCTCCGAGGTCCAGAGCTTTTTGAAGCGGAAGCCTGAAGCATTACAATCGTCATTCCGTAGGGTCTCTTCTTTTTTTAAACATACCGCCTGGTGCTGTACTGTAGAAGGCCGGAAATACCGTCATTTGCTTATCGGTTTAATGTTGATTCGTATTATTTTTTAGTGAACTAATATCAATTTTGCAATCATTTCCTGAAATTTTCATGTTTTGTACTAAGGTTTCCTATTTTCAGTATACCCCAAACGCTAGTCTAACTATGCAGGCCGCTATGATGCGCAATTCCTTGGGGCGATTCAGACTTGCAGGTTCTGAGGGGTCAGTGCCGTGGCTGTATATCCCATGTCTACTGCTATGTGGAAGAGCTCATAAAAGCTCCGCGAGGGCCCTGGTGGAGCCCTATCTTAAATTTAGAAAGGTACTATACCCGAACTCTCTTCCAATGCTGTCGGAACGTCAGAACGCACGGCTTGCAAGCTCAAGTCTTGTCTTGTCGAATTAGTGCCGCTGGTCTGGCTGGGCATGAATTGCAGGTTGTTGTGGCTGCTGACTTGGAGGATCATGGCACTTAGTAGGTAGGGTTTATGAGTACCACAATTAGAGTTACAAGTAGACATAAGTCTAGCTACCTGATTTATAACCCCGTTTACTACGTCCCGCGCTCCTTCTATCAAGAAACCCGGGTGCATCCTGAAGGAGAGAAGACCTGGCAGTCTCTTTCAAACTTACCACCGCTAGTCAGGGAAGCCTATTCCAGAACCCTTGAGGGAATCCTGTTTCAGAACCCGTAAGAGAACCCTATCATAGAACCCTTGCAGGAATCCTATTTCGCAAACCTGATGAGAACCGCATTATGGAACCCTACTCCCAGGATGCAAGGAGGCCAAACTTTTGTCACCTCACCAAGGGAAGCCTATTCAAGAGCGCTTGAGAGAATCCTGTTTTAGAACCCTTAAGAGAACCCTATTATAGACTCTACTCCTAGAATACAAAGAGGCCAAACAACCCCCTAGGAGAACCCTATTGTAGTACCCTGCTCCTAGAAGCTCTCCCTAATTGCGACCCCAAACCCCTAAACCCCTACACTCCTAAACCCCTAAACCCTAAACCCCTGAACCCTAACTGCTAAACCCTAAACCGTTTGGTGAGGCGTGGAGGTTGCTGACCACGAGACGATGCAGGCCCTCGACGAAGGCCGTGCAGTCAAGCTGATGCAAGCCAGCTTTCCACAAAGACTCTACGGCGAGGTACTGGCATAAATTATATACCATCTTTAATATACCATGGTATACTAGAACATACTTTGGTATACTATGATATACTGTAACATACTACAACATTCCATACCAGAATATACTGTGAGACAGCTGATGCTGTCGGGCTCCTGCTGACGAGGTTGACAAGGATGTGGGGTGATGCTGATTCCGAAAGAGCTGATGATGGTGATAGTCATGTTCATGTACCGTGCGGACGGTGCTCTTGATGATGACGATCTGAGAAGATGACACTTTTATAGCGAAATGGATAAGGTGACAAAATTACATGTCAGCTAAGCCTGCGTTTTAATGTTAGGGTTGATGCGAGCATTGGACTTCTGACATAGTCGTCAGATCATCATTTCTGCGCTTGGTTTCATACCATAACGTGGCGCAGGTCCCGAGGTCCTCAACCCGAAGCCCTCGGCCCAAAGCCCTGAACCTGGGGGCCTGATCCGAAGCTCGCGGCGTTGGATCATTTGCAACTACCCTTGAGCTTCAAATGCAGATGAACACTCTCCAACCTGAAATCAACCAACATCCAGCTTTGACGCCAACTGCCGAGAGCCAAAGCAACAACTTCAAGGGTCAGGGGACATAGTGACGAATTGCTGACGAACCTGCTTGAACGACTCAAGTAGAACAACCACAGGAACCCAGCAAAAGCTTAAGACCTGGTCAGGAAGAGATTGTGGAACTGGATCACCTGCACGATTATGTTTCACGTTTTAAGTTTCAGGTGCAATCCTTACCAGTAGTCCTCCTGCACATATTGAAAGATTCAAGGGTCTTAGTCAGTAGGTTATATGTACGATTGCAACTGAGCTTAGTCCGTCACGGTACTAGAAGAGGGACGTACATTCACGAACGCCCTGAAAAAAGGCCTTAGCTTAGAGAGCTACCAACAAGCCCCAAAACTCAAAGGCACTACACCAGCTCATTTAAGACCCTGTCGACGTTTTGCAAAGACCTGCGAACACCGTGCGAAGAAGGCGGCAAAGCCCCGATACTATAGGGGCCTCTAGCACCTGCGGCATTAAGGATTATAGAATAGGGTTTTGGCATTCCTCATTACAAGTATAACTAGTTTAATTTACCCCGAAGCCCTGTTCTAAATATTAAGGCCCCCTCTAGTACCTGAAGGCAACAAGCAGCTCGGGTTTCTCAGCACCGTCTTCGCAGAGAACCTGGCGCACGGCGAGGCTGAGCAAAGGAGGGGGCTTTAATGTAGGTGCCTCGATATAATATCGAGAATAGGGTTTGGGGGTATGTTATACTATACAAATTACAATGGGGGGTGGGGGTTCTCGCACCTCAGTTGCCGCACGCCTTGCCGTTTCTGTTAAAGGCTCTAGATTGCGAAGATTTACGGGTTCGACGCTAGACCCGAAACCCTTTCGTTTGAAGGCATTGTGCAGATCGATTGCTGAGGGTGCTGCCGTACATCCCCCGTTTCAAGAGAAATGAGTAATGAGTGCTTGGGCTTGTTTACTCTTAGGAACTCTCCACTTTCTTTAGGGTTCAGGGCTTCGCACCATGCCGTGAAATGTAGATCCGCATTGGGAATGAAGTTGTCATTTTTCAGGGTTTAGGGTTGAGGAGCCCAGCCTACTACAGCCGCCGTAACAGTTGGTAATGGTCGTCCCTTCTGGCCCCAATGCACGTATACCATACCAGATCCCGAAACGCTCTTCGAGGTGCTATCACTCCTGCATTCGTTGGAGAGTCCGCACATCTAACCCTCTTCGAACAGCTAACACCCTACAGTAGTTCGAGAGTCTTGACATCTCTAAACCCTAAACCCTAAACCCTACGCCCTAAACCCTAAACCCTACCCTTTCAGAGCAGAGGCGCAGACCCTGGCCTTGCGGACCGAGCGCCACACTGTGGAAGGGCTTCCGGAAGAGGCCTTTTAATTCCTGAGGGGTACTTAGAAATAGGGGCTCCTTAAAGGGATCTATAGGGGTACTATGAGGGTTTAGGGTTTAGGGTGGGGTACTTAGAAATATTTTTTAGCTTTTTTGTTATGATAATCCCAAAGAAACAGCTAAAATTATAAGTTTTGCTAGGGTTCTAAGTTCAGTATAGTTTTCAGGGTTCAAGCTGTAGGGTATCGGGTTGGGGTAGGGGTTTAGGGTTTAGGCAGTTAGGGGTTCAGGGTTTAGGCTTTAGGGTTAGGTGTCTTTGGCGCTCAGGGTTGTTCGGTTTGGGGTGCAGGTGTTTTGGTTCAGATTTTCCTGTGTAACGTTCAACAAACTTCAAGAATTTGGGCTTCAAGTTTCAATCGTCCATCCTTATAGTACTTACTAGGCGGTCACGATTATGGCCCTTCTTCGGGGAAGCGAGGGCTTGTGAAACCCATGGCTCCTCCATAATATTCATGGTACTTACTAGGGGTTCCCAATTATGGCCCTTGTTAGGGGAAGCGGGGGGCTTGTCAAATCGAGGGCTCCAGCCCGTCCTCGTCTGGTACCCGATACCGGAATTCAATCAAGCCCACTGCCCCTACCCCCCTGGAGCCTCGCAAAAGTAGATCCCCAAAAATAATGAATAATATAAGAATATTAGTAAATTAATGGAATCAGAAACAAAGTAATAAAGATAACAATAATAATGACAATCGTCCCTGATCTACTTGTCATCCTCCGTTCGTCTCGCTGGTTCCTACTAGGGAATGCGAGAGTGGATCCCGATGATAGTGCCCCCATTCCGCTTTCCCCAGTAAGAACCAGGAAGTCTTTCTTCAACACTTTGCCTTCGAACTTGCTGGGCTCGCAGAGTTTAGCGATCTGAAAGTTTAACCGTCTTGTTTCTGTGGATCTACAATACCCTCTATAGCACTGTAAAGACCAGTGCAACCCCATAAGGATACTAATAACACGTTTCGCCTGTAAGCGGAGAGCATGGACGAGCAGAGCAGCGAAACATCCCCTTAAGTTGGGGCTGTAGCGTTCAGTCTGTCGGGCCTCGATCTAAAAAATGTTCCTCAGCCCAGGGTCCAGGGGTAATTGGGCTCGGATGGAACCTTATCGTCACTAAAAGAACTTCGAAGAACACCACACTCAGACCCAGCAACACAATCTGCCAAATGAACTAGAAAGCCTCACACCCGCCGTAACACAGAAACTTACAAAGCTTTTGAAACCGCCAAATGCCGCAAAAAGCCTAGCGAGGTCCTGCGCGAAGCGGCCGCAGCGGCTTCCGCGTCTGGCCAAGAAGCAACCCCAGAGGCCTCGACGATTCATAGGGATCCTTAGGGGTGTAGGGGGAGGGGGGTAGGGGGCCTTAAGGCCCATAATAAGGACTAATAAGGCCTATTTAAGGAAATATAGTCCCCTACACCCCTCCCCCCTACACCCCTAAGGATCCCTATGAACGATCTCGGCCCGCTCAGAGGGAATTGTCGGACATCCGGGGTTTTTCATCTAGGTTTCTTGTCAACCGATTGTAGGTCTTAAGGCTGGTTACTTAAAGGATCATGGGACTTAGTAACTAAGGGTTTTTATTAGGGTAACTATACTTATAACTACTTATAACCCCAATTAAGGTACTTATAACCAGACTTACGAAGTCCCATGATCCTCCAAGTACTATATGGCCACCGCCCCTCGATTCTGGAATACTATGTCTTGGTTCGCAGTAGAAGCAAGGTATAGCGCAACCTTAACTACGCATTGTCGCTCTACCTGCGCACTTACTGGCGCCTCAGCAGTGACATATGGGTATAATACTTGTAGTACTTAGAGGACCATGGGACCTAGCAACTAGGGTTACAAATAAGGTTACAAGAGTCTCATGATCCTCCCGGAAATTCGGTACTTCTCCAAATTGGGGGGGGCCCCTTTTCAGGTCCCAAAACTTAGTGTGGCACCCTTACAAAAAAGGCCTCAAAACGGACCAAGTCTTTTAGAGAACTACCCAGTTTCGCAAGCACGAGGATGGTCCCTGGCTCTTCACCTGCCAGAGAAAGGTCCGGAGCCTCAGCCAGCGCGGCCTGCGTAATACAGGGGGCTACATAATTGCCAATTATTACTATTATATTTATTATTACTAGTATTACTATTATTATTACTATAACTACTATTTCTATTATTACTATTATTATTATTAGTATTACTATCATTGCCAATACTATTTTGGGGGGTCCTTGTTATGAATATAGTATAACGGGCCCCAAAAACTGCTGACGATGTATATCCTGCCCTACCCATAATAAGGAACATACCATTCTAGGGTATTTAAGGTAGTGCAGGATTTATATCATCAACCGTGTGGGGGCCTTCGTGTTTCGAATCGGATTGCTTCAAAATGATTCTATATTGGCTGAATACGGGCCTAAAGTTTAGGGTTTCTAGGGGCCTTGACAATAGATGGGGTTTGGGGGCCTATTATCAGGGACCTTGAGCCGATAGCAATGCAAGCTTGCGGCTTTGATGCCGGATTCAAGAGGAAAGGTTCGGGGTTTGGGCTTTGGGGTGGGAAAGTAAATGTTTGGTGTCTGGGGCTGAGAGAGATGGTGTTCGAGGTTAGACGACGAGCAGAAGGCATCGGAATTTGTTGATGTAAAGATCTAGGGTTGAGGACTTAGCCGGCACACTTCTCAATAACTTCGCAGTCAGACCGCAAGCAAGGCTGCGCCGCACCTTAGTTCGCGGGACACCCCTGATTGTGGAATATGATGATACCCCAGGGAACTAGTCTGAACCCTCAGCAAATCGCTATACTACCTAAGCCCTAAGCCTTAAACCCTAAACCCTAATCCTTAAACCCTAATCCCTAAACCCTAAGCCCCTCATACCCCAGGCCCTCGGTCCTCCAAACATGGAGTGGTGCAAGGTCTTCCGGGCCCAAAGAGGGCCCGAGGGCCAGATATCCGGCAAGGGTGGCCTCGCCCCAGATCCCGGGACTTAGTAAGGCTGTGGGTATATACCCTAATTAGGTTTGTAAATATTCGTTATGACTATCATCACATTATTTCTAGCTTTATAGCT